ATACACTGACATAATATTTATCACTAAATTACTACAATGTTATTGCATTTCTTTGGAAATAAAATTGTGGCAAAAGCATAGGCTATTTTATAGCATGATCAGTGTTGTCAAGAATGCAAACCATTAGTCTATAACTACTGCTTGTACAAGCTACAGTAACAGTTGATTTTAAGAATTTCAGGTATATATCTTCCAGTATTCATTCTTTTGTGGTAATTGTAATCATTGTTTTAGAAATGTGTTAAAACTTTTGACAATTTTAATTTCAGTGTACTGGGAGACTCCATCACATGACACAGACCTCAGGCATGTTTTGAGGGTGAAACAAAACAAGAAAGAAAGGAAAAAACTACTTTCTAATAGTCTCTTTAAATTCAGTAACTTAAAAGTAAAAATAATTTGTACAGCACCAAAGTACAGTGACAAAATGGGAAAAGTTCAAGAACACAGCACCAAATATACATCATTTCTTAGAATGATTAATAGAAGAAATTATGGTGCAAATTAGGTCATGAGGTCTGGTTTGCAGTGACATCATTGTAAATGTCAGAGTGTGGGAATGATAGTAAAGGGTGCTTTTAAACGTGAAAACAAAACCAAAAATCAAACCAAAAAGAGGTTGAGGGTGCAGGTGAGTTTAACACCATTCACACAGTGGCTCCCCACAGGTGTCACAGTCTAATTAATAATTTGTATTATATTGTCTATATAAACAAACAATATTTTATAATTTTTATAAAACATATAGCTTGAAATTTACTGAAAGACAAGCCAAATTATCTGCTAGGTGAGATACACATTAAATGTCTATCGAGTTTAGATTTTGCTACAGAATTTCTGTTTTGGAAACAACGCTTAATATTTGAAATTGCCCTGTCTCATATACACCACACAAATCAAAAGTTTCCATAGGTCATGTTTGCAAGCAGCGGCCAGTCATCATGATTGGAAAAAATTAAGTGAAGCAACATAGCTACCAAGCCACAAATCCTCAAAAGTGACAGATGAAAGTTTTGTACTCCATGGTCTCCCTTTGGGTCCCCCCAGGCTGAATAGAACAGAATAGAATAGAATAGAATAGAATAGAATTCAACTTTATTGTCATTGCACACGTCACAGGTACAAGGCAACGAAATGCAGTAAAATGAAGCCTGCACGTGCAGTTTCTTTAACAGCCACTTGAGGGTACCTCCAAAACTGAGTCAGTTCATCAGTTACTTTTTCCTTGATAAAAATTGCCACAGGTAGCTGTAGCCAGCAGCTGTCTGCTAGGCATCACGTTTACAATTCAAGTCACTGAGTAGGACCTCTTGGCCGCTTTTGCTCTAAGGCCATCTTTGTGTCCAGTTATAGAGTCAAATTCCAGTGTTGTATACTGTTGTTACTTCAGACTTGTGTAGGTGGAATTAGTGCACTCTGCCTCCATATTTTATGAAGGTAACTTGCTGACCAAGCTTTCCTTTGGAAAACAGACTTTCAAGAGTTAAAGTAACACTGTCATCTATCTTTATGGTAGCATTTGAATGTCTCTGTAAGCTGCTGACTGGTGTATTGCTAGCTAGCTTACAGTTTTAGCCAATGACTGTTTTCTACAGTCATTGGTTTTAGCTAAGACTACTTACATTGGCTTGCTAGCAGCAGTCAGTCAGCAGCCATAATTTTAAGGTGATCCAGTAAAATAAGTCAAAGATTACATGGTATACTACAAGTGATCTCGTTAGTGCAGTGCTCTTAGTTTTACTCTTGATGGTAAAACTAAGAGCCCATAAATTGTAATTTCATAGCAGAGTGTTTAGGCCCAGTAAAAACAATGCTGCTTAGCTGGCTTATCCAGGACTAGCTTCATGTAAAAAACATACTGGCTGCAAATGAAAGGTAAGTGGAGTGTTGGGAAATCCAAAAGTTTTATTCACCCTTATGTTTTGTTCGTTAAAGAGTTATGTGATGTGCTGTTAGCTGCATTTGAAGAGGTGTAGCCCTTATTATTATTATTATGTCCATGATTATTAATATTATTTGCAGTATTATTTTTATTAGACGTTTTGCATTGTTATATCAAATACATACAACTGAGTTGGATGTAGCTATATTTAAATATATTTGCCAAACCTATCCATCATCCTGTTATACTTCAAAGAGCAAAGTGAGAGCTCAGTGTCTGGTTTGAAGGGGGGAATTGAGAGCTCAAAATTGCCAATGAAAATGTTAATTTTTTTCATACAACCGTATTTATTTGGTCCAAATTGGACCTGCATACAAAAATATATATAAGAAATGAGTATGAATCTCTCAGATTTTCTTTTCAGATTTGACAAAATGCATAAAAAATTCAATCTGTATTCAGTGTAGTGACCACCGTCTGCTGCCCAGGCTGCAACACACTGATTCTCATAGTCAATGCTATAATCTTCCTCAGACATTCAGAAATCAGATAGCTTGTGTGTGTCATATACAATGTAAGTCTAGTTATTATTAGTAGAAGTTAACACAATTTTTAAACTCAAAGTGTAAATGAATTTTCTAAACATTTCCTACGTGATAATTTAGTAGTAAATGTTGGACTTTCTTACACTGCATTTTATTTTATGGTTTTTAACATTTCACATTTAAACTATAACCAGTTTATGAAATAAAGTAGATTTCAATGAATGTTCTCAGATGTGTATGATTTGTTAACATATTCACCTGTTTTCACCTATTTATAATTATTTTCATCATTACTTCTGAGCTTTGCTTTCTGTTTTTCTTTGTTTGCCTACCCCGTGATTACCTTTCATACCCTATTTAACATTTTCCTATATTAGTAGTACACTACTAAAACTAATACTACTACTTGAGAGGTTCTATTCTAGGACAAGACTGACCAGTTGACCATTTCCTCTGTCTCACTCTTGTCCCACACATTCAACACATTTATCTATATACGTGTCAGACAAAGAGGTCTTGGTTGATTTCAGAACTGGTCAATACCACAAGTGGAGAACGATCAGTAAATTGCGTGTCTGGTTCATTTGTTACCATCATTATTCTGAATGAATGTCAGACTGGAATGTGAATATTTCAGATTCACCTCAGGAGTGCCTTTGTCACACTTTAATCTTGGTAAAGGTTGTCTTTAATGTAAAATTAGTAAGTTTTTATCCTGTTTTATCCTTTGTTGGTGAGATACCTTTGTAGTTAAGTTTTATTGTACTTTTTATTTGTAACATGGAATGGTTCTTTTTCTTTTGTGACCTGCCTGGACTTTTTTTTTTTTTTTTTCAAATCTAAATATCAGATGTATTCAGCAAGTTTAGTCCAAATTGTGCACACTGCCTGGATTCAGTCTGTTATATTATCATTGTGGTGTTTGTCTTAAAAAAGAAAGAAATCAAAATAGTTTCTCTGATCTTTCTTTCTTTCTTTCTAAAAATTCTGGCCACTGTTCTGTTAAATGCAGTCAGATATGGGTGTGTTCTTAGCAGAGTATTTCCACAGTGGCAGTAATGAAAAATGTCACCGAAACAGATGTTACAGTAACTGTATTTTGAGTAGTCAACACAATTAGACCTGTAAAAACAACATGGTATTGTTACTGATGGAAGCTTGACCATATAAACATTCATATAAACAGCAAAAATGAATCAATTTCAGTAACTGCAATTTTCATTTTACTGCCAGTGTTTGGTAATGTAAGTGTGTGACGTACATTGCCACTCTTTGCCGATTCACATTATTGTAGTGCTGAAAGTATGGAGTTGTAAGAAGCCAAAGGCACCTCTAAGACTTATTTTATGAGACTTTCTTTTAAAATTTATTCAGTGTAACCAAAAAACACTGAGCCCCTACCATTAAGTGGCTGAATGCTTCCCCCTAGTGTCAGTGTGTTGAATAATTAGATACCCTTTTTAAAAGCAGTCCATAAATTAAACGCTTACACATGTAGGAATAGATTGCTAAAGATATAGATATTCACAGTGACAGGTTTTGTCATTTTGAGCCTTGCATAAATCCTTCAAACTCGAACTTCGAACAATACAAGAAAGATTTTTTTTCTCTTCTCTCCTCTCTCTCTGTCTTTATATCACACAGCACACACAACACAGCACTGGTTTTCCTCCTTATGATACATCAAAATCTATTTTATTAAATTCTGTACATAACATAGACACATAGATCATAAGCATCTATTGTGTTATTTGTAATACTTGTGTGTTATCACTCGAAATGTATTACCAGCAAGATTACTTCAAATCAGTATTACTTTTCTGTTCTGCTAGCATGCATTTTGCTTCCTCTCTAAGTATGGTCAGAAAGGTTCAAACATAATATAAACTTGCGTTAGTAAAAAATGAGTACAAGGCTATAAATGAGGCAGACCCATATTGGAAAATTGTCTAGCAAGGTCAGA